GGTCTCCTTTTAATGCGAAGGCTGAAATAATTCATGGAAATCACATGTGGAAGGTTCAGTCTCCCAATTGTGATCTCCTCCAAAAATTAAGGAATAGAAGAATACCTGCTTATTAAATAAGCTGAATTTTATTTTGAGCATTTATGAGATTTAAATATCTAATGATAAGCAAACTATAGGGTGTCCCAAAAATATATATATATACACACTTTGAAAAATTATAAAGGCAGTGTTTATTAAAATACATTTCATTTTCAAAATTGAGCTATCAGCTGGTAAAGTGTGTATACAGTTTTGGGGAACACCCTGTATTTGATTAGGATCTTTATGATAAACTAATTGGAATCCAATTCATAATATTAAAATGACATATATAGAAGAATCAGATTATTAATGAATCAAAATCAAGCCATCTAGCCTGCACAGCTTTTCCAGGGAAGAGCTGGGCTGGAAGTAAAGTCTGCCTGCTTCAGGTTCTGAACACCGGGCCATGCCCCACAGACTCTCATTCATGTGTGCAGACACAGACACACCCACACCAGGCACGTGTGTAACTGGCCAAGTGCTCTGTGCATAGTGATTAGGCACTGCCTCCTGCTCTCTCTCTCTGCTTTATTCCCTCATCTTTTTGGAATACCATGGTCCTTACAGGACAATCTAAATGAAGGGCTCTGCCGCGCCTGGCCTGCATGAGGGCCTGGTCTGGTGACTGCCCCAGACCTGCCCAGCTCCTCACGCCTCTCCTCCACAGCTTCCAGACCAATCTTTCCAATCAGAATCTGGCCTCTGCTTTTTTAAATCCTCATCCGAAGATATTTTTTCCATTGCTTTTCACAGAGAGTGAAAGGGGGAGAGGGAGAAAGAGAGAGAAGGAGGGAGGAGGGAAGGGAAGGGGGAGGAGGGAGGGAGAGAAAGAAAGAGAGAGACAAGTATCGACGTGAGAGAGACATCAATTCGTTGCCTCCCGCACACCACCTCCCCACAGGATCAAGCCTGTAACCAAGGTATGTGCCCTTGGCTGGAATCAAACCTGGGACCTTTCTGTCAGCTGGCCGACCCTCTAACCACTGAGCCAAACTGGCCAGGTCTGGCCTCTGCTTTTGGCAAGCCCTTAGGCCAACTTGCAGCATGGTCTAGTGATCAAACTCCTAGGCTCAGGAACTTGGTTTGAATCTTGGCTGCTGCACACTTGAGCTCACTGCTCAACCTTGGTGCTGCACAGCCCTCATCTGAAAGATGGCAAAAAAAGCAGCCAATCGCAGGACTGCTGGGAGGATTAAATGAGTTCCTGTAGGTAAAGTGCTTCGAACAGGGCTCTAAAAGCGCTAGGAACTACTATTCCTGAATTCCAGCCTCGATCCTAGAGGATTTGCTCCCTTCTCTGCTCTCGCTCCAACAGACCTAGGCAACCTACATATGCAGTCTGCTTCCCTGCAGAGGCGACAAATCCAGACACTGTAGGGACAATCAATAAGCTGCCTCTTACGTAATCACCATGGCAAACTGCCAAGCATTCCCTTAACTGCTGTCTTGAAACCAGACCTTGATTCTTAAGGAACCATACTCATTCACTCATCCAACAGATATTCAGTGGGTCCCTCCTATGTACTACCGGGGCTACGTCACACAATGAAACAAAATAAAGAGAGCAAGAAAAAATGACTAGAAGGGCAAATGTAAATCAGCAATTGTTCTTTAGCAACCTAATATAAATGCTTTCAAGAAATAATTTAAACGGCCCCAATAAGCAATGAATTATGCTGCTGTTTAACAGCCATTTGGATTATAGTCAGTTGTGGTGACAGACAAGAACGACCAGTTATTAATTCTGGCTGGAGGCCAGTTATCATTCAGTTTAAGCATCTATTCACAATGACAGGATGTGAGGAACAGCTGAATCAAGAAAATGCAAGTCTGTGTACAGATCTGGATAAAAGCAGTGCCACTTGGGTCTGACAAATGTTGAGGTGGCAATGATGTGATTTTAAGCCTTCAAAAATAACCTGTAAGACTGTGTGATCAAGGTGGGGTGGGGGATGAGATGAGGTGGGAGGGTATGGAATGGAGAGAATCAGATTTAGTTAAGAAATCCTAAGTCAGGAAATAAAATAAGCTCATAGTAATTCACCCATCTTGCCTATGAACAGCATTCAAAATACTGAGCTTCTCAGCCCAGCCTGAAGGGGTATGTGGCAGGACACTGACGTCCCATCATGATGCCATGAGCATCCTTAAATATGTCCCCTCATCCTCCTGGTAGTAGGAGCACCTCTGTCATCCCTTTAATAGGTGAATAAACTGAGGCTCACAGCTTACTTAGGGCACTCTGCAAGGGAGTAGTAGATTTTGAACTCCAGTGTGCTAGGCTGTCTTTAAAGTTTATCAATTCTTGCAAGTTTAATCATTTGAATGAGCCACATTTTCTACATTCCTTGATCATTCATTATACATTTAAACGTTAATGCTTTATTCCAGTACCCTGCAGCATCTGATGGTCAGAACATCCCAGAGGCAGCACATCTGCGGAATGTCAAAAGTGAAATAAGAATTGACATGAGGATGCCTCATTAATTTCCAATACAAAAAGGAATTTCTCTGATTCTTTGAAAGCATTTTATCATTGCCTAGAGACTAAAACTATTTCTACCGCCCCTTGCTACAAAATTATTTATGGGTAAACATTAGAAATGCAACCCTCAATGTGAAATCTTAATTACTGCCCTTTTAGCCAGTTTTTGTGTCCTCGGAAGGGGTATAAATTAGAATAATCACAGCTGAATAAATCTGAATAAAGGCTGCAGAACTGAATATAGCTGCCCTATGGTCTAGATGTGAATTCCCAGCACCAGACCCACTCTAGTTGTTTTGCCACATCCACTCTTATTTCAGAGGAGCAAAAAGTTAAAAATAAACTTAGTTCACCATTATCCTTCAGCTACTGAAGGCTTCACTACCAATCTGTTTTTTTTGAGGGTAGGTCCATATCTTGTCCTTTTTATGCCCCAGGGCCTTGCCCTGTGATCAGCACACAGAGGGTTTATAACCGTTTGCTGAACAGTACGGAACTTGAGTGACTTAATCTGTTTTCAAGCATTTTTTACTTACATTCAAACAAAGGTTATTCCATTGTGCTCATTCCCATTGTTTAATTGCATTCCATCCTTTGTGCAGTCCAATAAAAGGTATGGAACACTGAACATACTTTGGCCAATAGCAAGATTAAAACAAAAGATTCCTGAAATGTGACTTGTGAGGTTTCCCTTATTTAGCAGCAGGTCCTAAAGCCAGAGACAAGGCCACTTGACAATGGCAGGCCAGGCTGAGGGCTCTGCTCCCTGGCCTCCAGCCTTACTCCCGCTCTGCCTGCCATACCTAGGCCCTGTTTACTGCCACATGGGAGACGAAGGTCAGCTTTGAGTGAGAAACAAGAGTTAAGTTGTCAGGGAAGCCCAATGAGCAAAAGAAAAATACATAAAAATTAGGAGCAGCTTAGATTTTATAACCTAAGGCAAGTCGCAATCTGTTCTCCAGAAAATAGCTATGAACAAAAAAAAACCCAGGTATTTTCTGAAGCTATTTAGAGGACAGCCTTCAACTTCCATTTCCTGGGAGGGATGAAAGCCCAGGCTCGAGTGTAATCCAGGCCTTGGATGGAGGAGATGTGCTTAAAGGCTCGGCTCACTAGCTGGGCTACAGTAGATGACATTCAGCTTCTCTGAGTTCCGGACCTTCTCCATAAAAGGGTGTTGATGTAAAGGGGCTCTGGCTTAGGGGGCTCTTATAAGCGGAAAATGAGATGACTTCACCAGTGCTGCCACTCAGTGGTCAGCTGATCAATGAGAGAGCTTCGCTAACCGCTCATACTATTACTATTATCATGGTCATAATCAAACCGCAGGTGAAAGGGGAGCAGTCAGTACCCAAGAAGCTGACAGCTTTTTCTGTTTACAGTCTCCTTCAGCAGAGCACCCTCTGCTGTTAGTGAAACAGGGATCTGATCAGTGTGGTCTTTCTTGGTTCAATCAGGATAACCCATCTGTGTGAGCAAGTCAGTAGAATGAGGCAGGATTGAGGTTCCCTTTGAATTCACCTGTGTCTCAAAACTAAGCATTTATTTTAGAGTAATATAAAAGTATTGTCCCCTCAGTATATAAAATACCATCAGGGCAGTATTCAGTTCTTCTCAGGCAGAAATCCTGTGCTAATGGGCAACCAAGCAGATGACACCATTAACTGTGAATGTTTTGAAGACCCTGAGGCATGTCAAACTGATAAGGATTTGCACTAAAATTACTGCCCCCGCGCC